CATATGGGACCCATTCCAAACCCCTAATCATTTTAGTTGCCCTTTTCTGAGCCTTTTCTAATGCCACTATATCTTTTTTGAGATGAGGGGACCGCATCTGTACACAGTATTCAAGATGTGGGCGTACCGTGGATTTATATAAGGGCAGTAAGATATTCTCCATCTTATTCTCTATCCCTTTTTTAATGACAGGTTTCAGAGTAACAACCGTGTTAGTCTGTATTCACAAAAAGAAAAGGAGTACTTGTGGCACCTTAGAGACTAACCAATTTATTTGAGCATAAGCTTTCGTGAGCTACAGCTCACTTCATCGGATGCATAAAAGTGGAAAATGCAGTGAGGATGTTTTTATACATAGACCATGAAAAAATGGGTGTTTATCACTTCAGAAGGTTTTCTCCCCCCACCCCAGAGTTAAGAAACTCTAGAGTGGGGTGGGGGGAGAAAACCTTTTGAAGTGATAAACACCCATTTTTTCATGGTCTATGTATAAAAACATCCTCACTGCATTTTCCACTTTTATGCATCCGATGAAGTGAGCTGTAGCTCACGAAAGCTTATGCTCAAATAAATTGGTTAGTCTCTAAGGTACCACAAGTACTCCTTCCCTTTTTTAAAGATTCCTAACATCCCGTTTGCTTTTTGACTGCCGCTGCACACTGCGTGGACGTTTTTAGAGAACCATCCACAATGACTCCAAGATCTTTCTCCCGATTAGTTGTAGCTAATTAGCCCCCACCATATTGTATGTATAGTTGGGGTTATTTTTTCTAAATGTGCATTACTTTACATTTATCCACATCAAATTTCATTTGCCATTTTGTTGCCCAATCACTTAGTTTTGTGAGATCGTTTTGAAGTTCTTCACAGTCTGCTTTGGTCTTAACTATCTTGAGCAGTTTAGTATAGTCTGCAAACTTTGCCACCTCACTGTTTACCCCTTTCTCCAGATCATTTATGAATAAGTTCAATAGGACTGATCCTAGGACTGACCCTTGGGGAACACCACTAGTTACCCCTCTCCATTCTGAAAATTTACCATTTATTCCTACCCCTTGTTCCCTGTCTTTTAACCAGTTCTCAATCCATGAAAGGATCTTCCCTCTTATCGCATGACAACTTAATTTACTTAAGAGCCTTTGGTGAGGGACCTTCTCAAAGGCTTTCTGGAAATCTAAGTACACTATGTCCACTGGATCCCCCTTGTCCACATGCTTGTTGGCCCCCTCAAAGAGCTCTAATAGATTAGTAAGACATGATCTCCCTTTACAGAAACCATGTTGACTTTTGCACAACAATTTATGTTCTTCTATGTGTCTGACAATTTTATTCTTTACGATTGTTTCAACTAATTTGCCCGGTACGGACGTTAGACTTACCAGTCTGTAATTGCCAGGATCACCTCTAGAGCCCTTCTTAAATATTGGCGTTACATTAACTATCTTCCAATCACTGGGTACAGTAGCTGATTTAAAGGACAAGTTACAAACTATAGTTAATTTCACATTTGAGTTCCTTCAGAACTCTTGGGTGAATGCCATCTGGTCCCGGTGACTTGTTACTGTTAAGTTCCTCAATTAATTCCAAAACCTCCTCTAGTGACACTTCAATCTGTGACAATTCCTCAGATTTGTCACCTACAAAAGACGGCTCAGGTTTGGGAATCTCCCTAATATCCTGAGCCGTGAAGACTGAAGCAAAAAATTCATTTAGTTTCTCCACAAAGACTTTATCGTCTTTAAGTGTTCCTTTTGTATTTCGATCATCCAGGGGCCCCACTGGTTGTTTAGCAGCCTTCCTGCTTCTGATATACTTAAAAAACATTTTGTTATTACCTTTTGAGTTTTTGGCTAGCTATTGTTCAAACTCCTTTTTGGCTTTTCTTATTACATTTTTACATTTAATTTGGCAGCGTTTATGTTCCTTTCTATTTACCTCACTAGGATTTGACTTCCACTTTTTAAAAGAAGATGATTTTTTTATCTAGGAAGGCTTCTTTTACATGGTTGTTAAGCCACGGCGCCTCTTTTTTAGTTCTTTCACTGTGTTTTTTTAATTTGGGGTATACATTTCAGTTGAGTCTCTATTATGGTGTCTTTGAAAAGTGTCCATGCAACTTGCAGGGATTTCACTCTAGTCACTGTACCTTTTAATTTCTGTTTAACTAACCTCCTCCTTTTTGCATAGTTCCCCTTTCTGAAATTAAATGCCACAGTGTTGGGCTGTTGAGGTGTTCTTCCCACCACAGGAATGTTAAATGTTATTATATTATGGTCACTATTTCCAAGCGGTCCTGTTATAGTTACTTCTTGGACCAGATCCTGCACTCCACTCAGGACTAGATTGAGAGTTGCCTCTCCCCTTGTGGGTTCCTGGAGCAGCTGCTCCAAGAAGTCATTTAAAATATCGAGAAATTGTGTCTCTGCATTTCATCCTGAGGTGACATGTACCCAGTCAATATGGGGATAATTGAAATCCCCCACTATTATTGAGTTTATTTTGATAGCCTCTCTAATCTCCCTTAGCATTTCATCGTCACTAACACTGCCCTGGTCAGGTGGTCGATAACAGATCCCTACTGTTATATTCTTATTAGAGCATGGAATTACTATCCACAGAGATTCTATGTAACATGTGGATTCATTTAAGATTTTTATTTCATTTGAGTCTACATTTTCTTTCACATATAGTGCCACTTCCCCCCGGCCCCAACATGACCTGTTCTTATTACAGGGAGATAACTGTGTCAGTCACTGAAACAGGACATGATGCTTAATGGACTAATGTCCAAACTAAAAATATTGTAATTTTACACACATACAGGAGCTTTTTTGCAGACATAATTTCTGCCTCACTGATGGAAAACAAAAAGACCTACATGTAACACACAAACATCAAATGATGATATTTTATTTTAGGATCAAAGAGATATTAGAATTATTTTCAAACAAAAAAAAGATGCTGCAACTCAAATGATGGAAGTTATTAACACTTTGTATCATATCTTCAAAACACAGGAATCATTACATTTACCACTGAAATGTAGCTATTTCTTATGCACAGTGCTGCAGCTACTTAAAAGCAGACAGACACTACACAGTAGTTCAGGTCAGCAAGTTAAGAATATTTAATCTATTTTGAACTGTAGGGAGAATTTAGGATGTTATTACTCTGACTGGAATTTGACCAGCACAAACGACAAATCTTGCACAAAAGTGTCATTAGATTTTCAATAAGTTTGTGTGGCCAAGAACCTCTGTATTATGTTCCTCTAAAAGAGCAGTGCTCCCCAGCAACATATTGAAGCATTGGTTCAGTAGTGCAACATACTAAATCACCAACATCACTTCCTGAAGCATCCTGAACTGTTCTAGGCAGTCTCCCATCCAAGATGGGCCTGCTCCTACTTATCCTATAATATATGTCAAGATCACAATCCTAGCTGGTATAGCTACAATCAAATATAGTGAAGTACCAAGAGATATGGGAGTAAAAATACCCACAAGATGCTTAAGGAATAAATGGGAAACTAAAACATGCAGCTGTTATTTTGGAAGCTGGCTTTGAAAATTTGTCCCATAAAATGAGAAAGTAGAAAGGGGAAACTTTATCACTGTTTAATTTAATTTGCTGTTATAAGGTGAATATGCATTTCACATTAAAAGCAATGTTCTTTCAGCAAACAGTCAACCACTAAGAACCTTGACAAGAAGGCTACTACCCAATTTTCCTCCAGTTTCAGAAAGAATATCATCAACTGTATGACCAGCTGACTTAAAACTTTATTGTGACACTCGCAAACCAGGTCAGATCAGGGCCACAGGCCAATTCACTTGTATGTTAGTGTAGATCAAAGCAATTATTAAAATGTAAGTGTGCATTCAGATATTTAAACTTCATGAAAATTAATGGGTCATTACTTTCATTGTTCTCGTTTATCTATTCTTGTTATAATGTAACAGCAAACATTTACATGTGTATATAACCCTGTAACTAAATTACCCGTCAAAGAAATCTTATGAAATAGTAATGAAGGACTTAAGGACTTTAATAGAATATGTTAATTTCAAAGCAAGTCAAGGACTCTAAGTGCATTCCTCACTATCTGTCATCAAAGAAAAAAAGTATTTGGGTCCAGACACTGTCAACTAGCGAGTAAAGAAGATATAAAAGATGGATTCAAGGAAAGATCCTTCATCTCTGGACTGTTTGGATTCTAACAGAGCAGAATAACTGAATGAGAAGATAGAGTTATTCTGGATAGCCCTGAAGGACTTTTGGGAAATTGGCAGTTTATTACATCACTGACACCATTTGGAGTGACAAACTGTGATTTACTCATTATATTTTATCTGCTTTAATCTCTCAATAACTCTCATTCTTTTTTCTTACAGAATAAACCAATGATTAGTTTACTGCAAAATTGGCTACCAGTATTTTCTTTGGTTTAAGGTCTGGAGTACCAATTAATCTGGGGTGAGTGACTGGCCTCTTGGGACTGGGAGAAACTTGATGTGGCGGGATTTTAGGTTTAAATAATCTTTGATCACAAGTCCAGTTTGTCTGGGTGGTAAGACAGACTGGAAAGTCTAGGGGACTGTCTGTGACTTGATGGTAAAACACGTATAGTGATCCAGGAGTTCACGTTTGTTACTGGTTTAGTGAAATCTAATTATAGAACATACCACCAGTTTGGGGTGTCTGCCCTGAGATAGGTTTCAGAGTAGCAGCCGTGTTAGTCTATATTCGCAAAAAGAAAAGGAGCACTTGTGGCACCTTAGAGACTAACAATTTTATTTGAGCATAAACTTTCTTGAGCTACAGCTCACTTCATCGGATGCATTGTTAGTCTCTAAGATAGGCACTCACAGTTGTGAGCCACTCCAGACAGCGTGACACCTATTTTAATTAAAAATTCAAACTGATGAAATGACAATTTTAACCAATTTTTTTAAATGCAAACCATCTACATAAATCTGTACTTCATTTTGGATACTTACTGATTGATAACTCCTACACAGAAACAGTAAGACTGTAAAAACTCCAACAACTGCAGCACAAATCACTATTTCCCATGGGAAACCATAAAGATCAGGACCAGGTCTCATATCTTCAGGCAACGCTGTCACAACCTTCAAAAAAAATAAAAATAAAAATAAAATAAAAAAAAAATCAAGCATCAAAAAATCAAAAGTAGTTAAAAAAAAAGGGACAGATTACCTATTATTTTTGACAAATGCAGATATTACTTATTGTTTACTGAGTCAACTGTGAGACTATAAGACTCTTTGTTTATTTACTTTTTCAAAACCCTGAAAAGTAGCAAATGTTGTCAGAAGCCTTTTGTTTGGTTTTTAAATCTTTTGTTTATTTAGCAATCAGTGTATAATATAACCGAAGACACATATGGTACGTTGAACCAGAAGAGACACAGCTTTTTAAGTTTTCCTTCTGAACTTGTTGTTTACGGAAAGGGTCCTTCATGAGGTACAGTAGTTTATATGTAAAAGCGTCAGCATTAAAATAAAAAAATGTTTACAACATAGTTGGTGGACAATTTATAGTGACAGCTAAAGATATGCAAATAATTTCTCTGATTGACTAAAATATAGCATAAGTATGGTTTTAGAAAATAAAAATAATGGTTCAGTGTAGTTTACTACGTAAAGGATTGTGATTTGCATAACCTGTGTTCTACATTATTTGTAAATAGATATGTATACATTATTTTCTAAACAAAACAAAAAACAGCCTGCTTAATGCAGCTCACCTTTCCATATACAACTATTAGTGTATAATATTTTATTCACTAAGCAGAAAAGTCTTAAACTTTGAGTCTTTCAAGCTGAGGTGCTCTGTCTGCACTTGGAAAGAGCAGCATGAGGCCTCCTTTGATACTGTTAAAAGGAAAATAGAAGCATGTTTTCCTTCCATATTTGAGACTATATTTCCGAATTTCACAGACCTTAAAAATGCTTAAATTTAACAAGTCCTATGCCTCCTCTCAACCAAACCTCACTATGTTTCCATTCCATTATTGTGCCCTTCTCATCTTGATTTTCCCTAAAAGTTGTCATGATCCCGGGTCCTGCAAGCTGCTCCTCACCAGGAGGCCCCTGTGCGGGGCACCTTGCCGAACTGGGGCCTAAGCCGGACACCTGACTTTTCTAGCAAAATGTAAGATATCAGATGACAAGGTTCGCAGCAGATGAGCTTCATGTAAATGACAAAACACAGGTTCTGGTGAGTGGGTCACCGAAGCGCAGAGTCACGTTGCTTGTCGCAGTGAAGCAGCTTTCGTGTTAACGAAAATCCTCCCTCCCTCAGAGCTCACACCCTCCCCTCCCTGCCCCCAACTGGGGAAGTTTCACAATTGAAGAGTCTAGGAGAACCAGGCCGCAAAGCGGCACCGTCCCTTGACACCCCGGCTTTCCCCAGCCCCAGCCCCCCCGGCCGGGAAGCTCGCTGCCGCCGGCCCCGCACTCACGCTCCGCGCTCGCTCCAGGACCAGCCCGCAGAAGCGCTGCACTGTCTCTCGGAAGCCGCGCCACAGCCCCGCGGCTGCAGCCTCCCGAGCATCCTGGCAGCTCTTCCCGGCGGCCATTTTACTGCGGCAGCGGCTGCTCACGCTCTGGGCGGCGGCGATGGGGCAACCGGCGCTCAGAGCCCATCGCCGACTGCAGGAGCAGCAACCCCAGCAGCCCCCACGTAACTTCCTGCCGGCGCCAGCCTGACAACTGAGCGGGCCGTACCACCGCCCCAGAGAGGGGAGCGGGGCGAGACCGTGGTGCCTCGGATGGGGGTGGGGGGGTGGCGACTGCCACCGGTGGGAGCTCAACATATGGGACTGCCGCCAAAACAGGGGCCGAGCCAGGCGGCTCCATTCCGGGGGGCAGCGGGGATGCCCGGCTAAGCCAGAAGAACAGAGGGAAAGAAGGGAAGGGCGGCACCACTGCGTGACACAAGCGGGGGATGGAGGGGGGCAGAGGTTGCTGCTGAGCCCCCTGTGGGGGGGACCCGCATTAGCCCGCCGGCTAGGGTGACCAGATAGCAAGCGTGAAAAATCGGGACAGGGAGTGGGGGGTAATAGGCGCCTATATAAGAAAAAGACCCCAAAATCGGGACTGTCCTTATAAAATCCGGACATATAGTCACCCTACAGCCAGTGCCCCCCACCCCATTGTGTGCACCTGCAGCGCAGACGGGGGCGGGCCACGGACCCAAGGACACACCCTATGTTGGGATCTGCAGACTCAGGGGCCACCCCTCTGAACGTCAGACGAGGGGTGGCTCTTTAGCCTCCATTTTAGGAACAGTGGGGGCAGGCTCCTGAGGAGATGCCAACGTGTGCCTCCATTTGGGGCTGGGCAAGACACTGGCAGCCCTGGGATAGCACAAGTCATGTTAGCAGGATTGTGCTGGGCAGGTCCAGGGAAACACAAGCAACCTGTAACAAGTCTTCGCTCCAAGTCATGAGGGGCCCATTGAGACCATGCCTTGTGACTCACTAAGTCATTCATTAGATGCCCATGTCAGCTACCTGCAGTTTGTTCTATAACAAATTCCTTCTAGGGAATAAGGGGGTTAGTTTTATATATTTATTGGGCTTGTGGGGGTCTTATCCTCTGTCCTTTTTTCTCCCCATTGATATCTTCAATAACCCCACATCCCAGTGGCCAACTTAGGAAGGCTACATACAGTTCTCTTTAGAGCCTATCAAACTAATATGTAGCCTCTTCTAAAATAAATCATTTGAGAGCACTGAAAGGCACTTCACACTCCACAGGGCTCCTAGCCTGAGAAGGTAGGAACTTGAGCTCAAGTCCTCTGTTTAGAGGCACACTATTCTGTTAACTAGACTGCTAGCCTAACCTAAAATTTGGTTGTTTAAACATTTTACACACAAATGTATTCCTTCACAAGCAAAACAAAGCCTAGGCCCTGCTTTATCCAAGCTGTTGTAACCCATCTTGCTTGCTGAACTTCAGGAAATGAACCCTAGTGTCAGCCAGTGAGAGTTTGGGGAGAATATTCTCTCCCAATGCCTACCACAACTTTATATACAGGAAGCAGAAAACAAAGGGGAAAAAATCTGGAGGGAAACAACAATTAAACTAAGCAAATAGGGTGTGAGGATAAGAAAAAAATAAAGGAGAAATAGAGGGACGCAATTTGAACACCCCATTCTGAAAATATTTCCTTTCCAGCAGAGTTACTACACATCTTCAAACACTTATCATACCCTAATGGAGCTAAGCTCTACTAAACGCTGACTCTGGACAGTTAAAATCTCAAGCCAGTGCAAAGAGCCCTTCATAGACAGATGTTAGAAATTCTACACTTAACTCCAAAAATTGTTGGAAACTGCTGTTTCAGGTGGAAATGTTTGAATACAGTTGGCTTGGTATTTATAACTTACAATGTAAACAGAATCCTTTCCTCACAAACTAATATAGCCCACTCACCTTTCAAACATTTAAAGAGATACAATTCAGAATAAAAACAAGATAGAAAGTGATTAAAGAAACCAAAGGAGAGATCATCACACAACAGTACAGGTTTAGAAGTATTTCCATGGCAATCTCACAATCATTCCTCTGTGTAGTACTCAGTGGATACAGAACCAATCTCTTCTTAGCTAGACTTTAACTACTTGTACAGAAACTTACCCCTTCCTTTGTTTTGGATGTTTCCATTGGTGAATCAAATATTGTAATCACATAACAAACATTTCTATTAAAACTATGAGCTTAAAAATATCCCTAGTTTCTTAAGGAAAGTTCCTGATCCAGTCAGAGAGACATCCTGCACTGGTATGTTTCCAAATGGACAGAGATCCTGTTCTGACATTTCTGCAGTCAAGGGAGGGGGGGCCAGAGGTGGATTAACGACTAACAACAAAGTTTCTCATTTCATGGCACATCATGTCTCCTTTCCTTTGTAAATATAAATTAATTGACACTATGTGTTTTTAAAATTCTAATGCAAAGAAATGTTATATTAGGAAGTCTAATATATACATTTCTTATTGTTTTATAAAAGCTAAAGTACACCTTTTAAAAAATTGACCATATTGTGGGCCCGTAATACCACGTGTTGGTATTACACACTGAAACACAGAGGCTGCAGAAAATATTGATAAGCCATATCCTAGCTACGTGGCATTGTAATTTTACTTATTTCATTATTTCTGTAACTTGATTTCTATATTCCATTGGGATTATTTTCATTATAATTATGTTTGTAAATCCCAGCTTTTATAAAGGTTGACTCAGTCATTCTTTGTATGCAGCAACATATGCAATTTGCATCTTTTATTGTGAAAATCTAAGAGGAAGGAAAAATGCAATACAAGGGAGCAGTTGGTACCTAATGATGGGAATTTGAAAATAGCCATTTTATTTGTACTGAACAATAAAAATTTGAATTTTAACACAGCCTGTAAAGCGTGAATACTCTATGTATCCCAATTAGACATTAAAGTCTTAATTTCTAAAGAAAACAAATTATTCATGTTTCCCTCTCACGGTTCATGTATTTGCCATGATAAGCATGTACATGTATAAGCATGTAATAATTAATCCCAGTGTGTCTCAAACTTTAAGACCTTGATTATACCACATCTAAACCTCAAAAGTTCTTGGCATATGACCTCTTCAGATATGCTTCTTGTATTTGTGCCTCAAGAGTTCCAGTGTCCTCCTTACTTTGCCCCCTCCATCCCATTTATCTTTCAATCCATAATATTCTCCCTTTACCTGTCAAATTTCCACATCCTCTGTCTTTCCTCTGCCTCTCCAGATCCCCTTTCCATCCCTTCAGTTATCCCTGTCTTCACCCCCTTTGCTTTGTTTCTCTCAGATATCCCTCTCCAAATGCCCCATGTCTCTGCCTACCCCTTCCCACCTTCCCTTTTCAAGCCTCTCCTACCCAGTTTCTGCCCCACCTTCCCTGCTATCTTCAGAATATTGCACAACAGCTCCCTTCACTTACCAAGCTCCCAGCCTTCCCTTACTCTCAGACCTTCCTTCCCCCAAGTCTCCCCTCTACTCTCCCTTCTTCTCTTCTCTCTCCATATCCACCACAGCAAGTTTATCCCATACTTTCTTTCTTCCCTTCCCCCAATCCCCTTTGCTTCTTCCATGTTCCATCTCCCCAAGGGCCCTCACTTGCATTTGTTCCCTGCAGTACCAGCCCCCCCAGCTCAAGGCACAACCTGTACTGGTTCCTCACATCTCCACTCCCCAACATTCCTCGCTGTATCGGTGCCCTTCCCTCGCTCCACAAGATCCCTCTGTCCCCAGTGCCTCCCTCATCAGCTCCACAAAGTCTACCTTGTACCAACCCCTCAAGCAAATTCCCTCTTGTATCTGTATCCCCCAGATCACCTCTTCCCCACTGTTCCCCCATTCTCTCTCTCTCTCCAAGGACCCCTTGGACTTGTCCCCACTCCCCAGCCCCCCTAAACCTGTCCCTCAATTCCTCATTCCCTCCCTCTCCAAAGATCAGACCCAACATCTCCATGTCTCTCCCTGTACCAGCTGCCCTCTTGCCCCCAATGTACCCCTCTCCAAGCTCCCCTCTGTCCCACCCCTTTCTCCAGCTCTCCCAAGCTCCCCAAGTCCCCCTCCAAGATGCCTCCCATGTTCAAGGCTTCCACGTACCCCCTCCAATGTCCCCTTTGTACACCCCCCCACTCAACCACCCCTGGCCTCTCTTCCCCCTTCCCTCCCCAGAGGAGAAGCAGCAGGAGTGGGAGCTGCTGCTGGTGGGTCATGGGTGCCTCCCTGCCTGTCTCCCACGCCAACTGACAGGGGATGAGAAGGGTGTCCATGCAGGGAGGAGACTCAGCCAGCTCCCAAGTCTAGCTGCATGGGGACACAGTGGCCCCAGTATCAGGAAGCTGCACTGCAGCTGACTCTTCCCAGCTTGTCTTTTCTGCCTGATTGTACACTTTTTACTGAGGGGTTATAAAGAATAATTTTTTTAAATCATCTTGTACAGCATCTAACTGTGGCCAGTGTACCTTCAGTTGTACTTCTACCACAGTTTGAAAACAGGTTTCAGAGTAGCAGCCGTGTTAGTCTGTACTCGCAAAAAGAAAAGGAGTACTTGTGGCACCTTAGAGACTAACACATTTATTTGAGCATAAGCTTTCGTGAGCTACAGCTCACTTCATCGGATGCATTGTGTTTTCCACAGAATGTATCCAATGAAATGAGCTGTAGCCCACAAAAGCTTATGCTCAAATAAATGTGTTAGTCTCTAAGGTGCCACAAGTACTCCTTTTCAGTTTGAAAACAGTTGACTTAATCTATATATTGAAAGAAGAAAACAAAATCTATAGTAACACAACTTGCTGATGGCGAGATTTTTCATTTGTAGATTTTGCAGCAAATACAAAATTATAGTTCCCACACCCACTGTGCCTCACATTTTATATTATTTTATATATTGTACTAACTTTCGTACATTGAATATGTTCACAAGAGGACCATGTTATGTTGCTGTGGGAACCAAAAGTTTAAATTTCTTCGTTCTGGTACTGTATGTGTAAAATCACTACTAAAAGATTGCAGTACCTTTTTTTTTATTTTTTTATTTTTTCAAGGCCCAACCCAGCTTTCATTTAAATCAAAGGGAATTCTGCCAGTGACTTCAATGGGAGCAGGAGCTGGCCATGGGTTTCCTTTAAAAAAATAGATAAAAAATGCTGGTGTGTTTGAGAAGTATGTCTTCTTGGCTGTTCAATAAACCCACATTTGAATGTACAGTCACTAAATGCACAAGGGAGGATTCTGCAGAGGCAATGGGAGCAGCAAGGGGCTGAAGAAAACAGCAGCTAATGTGGCATTTCCTGCCCCTTCCCCTCATCAGTTGGGCATCAGGTCTCCCTGTGGCCAAGTTTGAAAATTCTGGTCTCCTTAAATGCTTCCTCAACATATAAACAGAGGCCACACTGAAGATACCTACCCCAATTTTGCTGTCAGTTCCAGCTCCAACTCCAGATGAGTTTCAGAATGTAATAAACAGCAGAATCGGGCTCAATTTCCCTCTGGTGGTGTTAAAACATTAAAGAAACAAAATCTTACCTTTTTGCTAACAGTTGCCACTGCTGAAAATACAGATTTTACAAAGTCACCAACATCAAGACAATCAAAATGCAGGAGAATCTGATATATCCAGTCTTCTTCTGTTAATTTATAAGGAAAGAAAATGTTTTGTATTATCATGTTATCTTGTTAATAGCTCCATTTTTATTTTATTTTTTTAAGATTGCAATCTTGTTTTCAGATCAAACACTTACCATTATTGGGAATGTAGTTTTGAATCAGGAAAAAGATCTGTGATAAAGGTTTTTTAGCATCTAACTGAACATTTTTTGCTGAATTGTACATTTTCTCCTGAGCATTCACTGGAGCAATTGTTATTGCTTTTGAATGTTGGCCACTGTTACGTTCTTTATACAAAGCTGTATGCATGTGATGGTCTTCTTTTGGAGCTTTGTCTGATAATTTTCTCTCATCAGATATATCTGCAAACAATTGTGAAGTAGAATCACGTTTATTTTCAGCCTTCTCATCAAGAATATTTTCTGCATGTGAAATTTTATAAGATTATTTCCCACTATGTTACTAATTTGGCTTCTGAATTCCTCCTCATTTTCAAAGTCATTTTCAAAGTCAGACTCTCACTGGCAACTGCCAAAAAACCCCAAAACCAAACCCCTAAACAAATGGACAACTGATTTAAAGGGTTACTCTTCTGATGTCACCATGTGACAAGACAATATAATAAGTGACCTGGCAGGAATATAAGAACACTTTCAGGACAGGGTTATATTTACATAATGTGTATTATATCACTGTAAATCTATATTCTAAAATTGGGCCAAATTCTGGTCTTAGAATGGGGTTGCATGGATGTAACTGCAGACAAAAAAAAATGGCTACATATCTTTCGTAACTGTTCTTCAAGATGTGCTGCTCACGTCCATGCCATTCTAGGTGTATGCACGCCCACATGCACGGTTGTCGTAGATTTTTGCCTTAGCGGTATCCATAGGGTCGGCAGTGGCGCTCCCTTGAGTGCCACACTATGCGCCAGTATACCAGGCTTCGCTGACGGTATGCCTTCTCAGTTCCTTCTTGTGGGCAACACCGACAGAGGGGCAGGAGGGAGGGTAATGGAATGGACAGAGCAACATCTTGAAGAACAACAGTTAGGAAAGGTAGGTAACCGTTTTTTCTTCTCCAAGTGCTTGCTCATGTCAATTCCATACTAGGTGACTCACAAGCAGTTTGCCAATGGAGGTGGGCTCAGAGTTCAAGGTCTTGCAGCTTGCAGCACTGCCCTGCCAAAGCCAGCATCATCCTGGGCCTGCAGTGTCAGCACATAATGAGTCATAAACGTGTGTAGAGATAACCAGGTAGCAGCTCTACAGATCTCCTGGGCTAAGAAGGCTGCAGATGACACTTGTGCTCTAGTCGAGTGCACTTTGACTATTGCCAGTGGAGGCACGCCCGCCAGCTCGTAGCAGTACCAGATGCAGGCTGTGATCCTGGACGAAATCCTTTGAGCAGACACAGGATGACCTTTCATCCTATCTGCCACCACCACGAACAGCTGCATTGACTTAGGTAACAGCCATGTTCTATCGATATAGAAGGCCAGCGCCCTTCTGACGTCCAGGGCATGTAACTTGTGCTCCTCTTCGGCTTTATGGGGCTTCAGAAAGAAGATCGGTAAGAAAATATCCTGGCTGGTATGAAACTGGGAAACTACTTGGGCAGGAATGCCGGGTCTGGCTGCAGCTGGACCTTTGTAGAACACTGTATAGAGTGGGTCTGATGTAAGCACTCTGAGCTCAGACACTCTGCGGGAGGCGGACATAACCCCAACCAGGAACGACACCTTCCAGGAGAGAAGAGAGCAGGAAGCCAGAGGTTCGAAGGGAGGCCCCATGAGCCTCGACACCACGAGATTCATATCCCAGGGAGGGACAGGATCCCATCATGAGGGTAAAGACACTCCAGACCTATCAGACACCGGGCCATCATGTTGTGAGCGAAGATCAACTTGCCTTAGAATGGAGGGTGGAAAGCCAAAATAGCAGCCAGGTGGACTCTAACTGATGACAGTGACAAGCCCTGAAGCTTGAGGTTCAGGAGATAGTACAGGATCACCTGCAGCGAGGCCTGCGAGGCCTGGACGCCCTGATCCAAGGCCCAGCATGTGAATCTTTTCCATTGTGCCCGATAGGTCACTCTGGTGGAGGGCTTTCTGCTACCCAGCAAGACCTGTTGCACACAGGTCGAGCATTTCCGCTCATCAAAATTCAGCCATGCAGCAGCTACACAGCAAGTACAGCACAGCAAGTACAGCTACACTATCAAGTACAGCACCTCCAGGAGACTGCTGTGGTTCTGGGACAGCAGGTCTGGCCAGAGAGGGAGTCTCAGTGGCTCGACTACGGAAAGGTCCAACAGCATGCTGAACCAGTGCTGGTGAGGCCCCTAGGGAGCTATCAGGATAACCCTCGCCCTGTCCTGCTTGATCTTTACAAGGACTCTGTGGATCAATGGCACCGGCAGGAAGGTATAGATCAGGACACTTCACCACATAAGCAGGAAAGCATCTGACAGGGAACCCCTGTCCGTCCCCTGGAGCGAATAGAACACGTGGCATTTCCTGTTCTGGCAGGACGCAAACAAGTACACCTGGGGAGTCCCCCACTTCTGGAAGATCATACTGGCTGCCTCTGGATGGAGTGACCACTTGTGGCAAGACGAGAAGTTCCCGCTGAGGTGATCTGCTAGCACATTCTTGGTGCTGGGCAGGTGCGCAGCTACCAGATGAATGGCATGCTGCACACAGAAGTGCCAAAGGCTGAGAGTTTCTTGGCAGAGGGCTGACAACCTGGCTCCATCCTGTGTGTTGATGTAATACTTCACGGTGGTATTGTCTGTAGGTCCTGCACCACCTTGCCCCTCAGGTGGGGCAAGAAAGCCTGGCACACCAGGCGAACTGCTCTGAGCTCCCTGATGTTGATGTGGAGGGCCAGATCATCCCGCAACCATCAGCCCTGAGTGCTCAGCTTGCCCAGGTGTGCTCCCCAGCCCAGGTCCAAAGCATCGGAGACCAGGGTCAGTGATGGGGAGAGGTTTGCGAAGGGGGCTCCCTGCAACACGGACCCAGTGTCCAACCACCAATTCAGGGATAACAGGTACCCTGACCACCCGGTCTAGATCGTATCTGTTGGGGGTGTAAACTGATGCCAGCCACACTTGTAGAGGCCGGAGGTGGAGCCAGGCATGACTGATCATGTGTGTACAGGTGGCCATATGACTCAGCAATTGCAGGCAGGTGTGAGCTGTGGTGAGTGGGCAGCTCTTCACATGGGAGATCAGGTCTGACATGACATGAAAACACGCCTCTGGAAGGAAGGCTCTGGCTCACATGGAGTCGAGAACCGCCCCTATGAACCCTATGCGCTGGACCATCCTTAAGGTAGATTTTTTCTCATTTATCAACAGGCCCAGGTCGAGGCTTCTCTGCACTTGGTCCTGAGACCTACCCTTGATGGGCCAGTCGTCAAGGTATGAGAAGACGTGGACCCCTCAACGTCTGAGGTAAGTGACCACCAATGCCATACATTTTGTAAAGACCCTTGGAGCCAATGAGAGGGCAAGGGGAGTGCCTTAAATTGGAAATGGTGTTCGCCCATTATAAAACGGAGGAATGTCTGTGACTTTGGAATATTGAGATGTGGAAATAGGAGTCTTTCAAGTCGAGGGCAGCGTACCAGTCTCCCAGATCCAGGAAGGGGATGATGGAGGCAAGGGAGACCATGTGAAACTTCAACTTTTTGAGAGACTTGTTGAGGCATTGCAGGTCCAGAATGGGTCTGAGGCCCCCTTTTGCTTTTGGGATTAGAAAGTAGCAGGAGTAGAACCCCTTTCCCTTCAAGTCCTGAGGGACCTCCTCCACCGCCCCCATGCGCAGGAGGTTCTTGACCTCCTGAAAGAGGAGTTGCTCGTGAGAAGGGTCCCTGATGAGGGATGGGAAGGAGGGGGGATCAGAGGGAGGGGTGACCAAAAATTGCAGGGTGTAACCATGAGACACTACATCCAGCATCTAATGGTCCAAGGTGACTTGAGACCAGGCAGAACAGAAGGCACAAAGATGGTTGAGGAAAGAGCAGGGTGGATCCTGGAAGGTGACTGGGGCGTCGCTCTCAACCGCACCCTCAAAACGAGCGCTTCTGGCACCCAGCATGTTTTGCCAGGCCGGACTGCGTGGGTGAGCGGGAGGAGGAAGGGCGACGGCGACTGAAACTAGCGTCTCTGCCTCTTCTTCTTGAAGATCCCTGGTGACACTGCCAAGGCCTAGTCAGCAGGGGCGGCCTGAACTGCTTTCTCACAGGCTGCAAAGTATACATGCCCAGAGAGCAAAGGTTGGCCCTGGTTGTCCTTTAGCCCATGCAGCTTCACATCCGTCTGGTTGGAAAAGAGACCATTCCCATTGAATGGGAGGCCCTGGATGGAGGTCTGCATTTCCTGGGAGAGACCTGCAGTCTGAATCCAGGAGCTGCACCTCATTACCACCACCAACACAACCACCCTTGCTGCCAAGTCCACCACATCCCATGCCATCTGGAGGGAGCACCTAGCAGCAGCAGTGCTCTCCTCCACCAGAGTACCAAATTCCTGGGCCAAACCCTGTGAAAGGGACTCCTTAAACTTATGGAGGGAGTCCCAGAAGTTAAAGTTGTAATATCTCAAGAGGGCCTGATGGTTCACCACCCAGAACTACAAACTGGTTGTTGAATAAATCTTTCTTCCAAACAGATCCAACCGTTTGGCCTCTTTATTCTTGGGGGTCAAACTGGTATGCCCCTGCTTGTCTCTTGTGTTGGCCGCAGAGAACACCAGCGAGCTGTGTGAGGGGGAGTATAGAGGAACTCAAACCCCTTGGTTGGGACAAAATACTTCTTTTCGGCCCTCTTTGAGGTGGGAGGAAGGGAGGAAGGAGTTTGCCAGAGACCCATGCCAATCTTAAGGACACTGTCATGCATGGGTAGTGCAACACAGGTTGGGGTAGAGGTTGACAGGACATTAAACAAAGTGTCAACCTGCTCAGCCATTTCCTCCACTTCCAGGCCCAAGCTCTTGGTCACCCGATGCAGCAGGGCCTGGTGTTCCTTGAAATCGTCCATCGGGCTGGCCCTTGAGGGTCCCACAACTGTCTCATCCGGGGACGAGGACGATGATTGCACCACCCAGGGGAGGTTCCGGGGCATCTTTCCCCACAGGGAAGGGAGGCTTAGGGATGGGCGCCATTCCCTTTGCCTCGACCACCGAGTGTGCCTCCTGCACTGAGGCCAGTGCCATCAGTGCCGCCAGCTGTTGGTCCAAGGCGACAACTGATGAGTGGTGAGAAGGGGGCATTGCCACAACCGGCATTCCCCATGCATCCCAATAAGGCCACTGCGCTGGCCACTGGCCATGCTGCCAAGTTGGCGCCATCAATGTCAATGCAGCCTCGGGTTCCCATTCATGCTGGTGCAGTCAAGATGAGGGGCTGAACTGGGCTTCCATGCCAGAGGACTCCCCTGCCGGTGACCACAGTGGGGCCATTGATGCCTGGCTCTGCTTGCTGACCATTGCCTTTGGAGACCAATGCCCGGAGCGAGGTGATTGGTGCTGGTAACAAGGGGACCGGTGCCGATGCCAGGGGGACTGGAGATGTGACGGAGAGCACTCTCACAATACAGGCAACCAGGACCTACACCTAGAGGACGATTGGTGGGAGGGCGAGCGTAGTCGGTAGAACGGAGACCGGCTTCTTGCTCTAGGTGATCTGCATCAAGATGGCGGCGACTGTGAACATGGCTCCAGTGACCAAGGATGAGCCCCAGAGTGTCTGGGCTGCAACTCCAGCAATCTGCGGCATGGAGGTAGAGAGTGCTACTTCGTCTCGGGGGACCAGTGGTGCTCCACTGCCCCCTGAGGGGTCTTAGTGGCTGGCTTGTCCTCAAGGGCAACCTTTGCTGGTTCCTGGTCACATGCTGCATCGGCAGCATCAGCAGAGGCCTGTACTCTCTTGGTGCTGGGGGAGCCTTTGAAGGCGTCGGTGCCGCCAGGGTTTTTGGTCCCATGCTGCTCCTGGGAATCGGTGGTGGACGTTTCACAAGGTTAAGGGCCCCAGCTGGGGTGATGCGAGCACACGGCTCCGGAGTGGCCGGGCAGCCTGAAGTGGGTCTTTTGCCCAATGACCCATGGCCCGTTTTGCTTGGTGCTGGGGAGCCATGCTTTTTAGTCTTCTTTTTGGGCACCAGCAACGGGGAATGGTGCTGGGCAGAGCCCAGTGCCAGGGGCACACTGTGCACCAAGGCCAAGGTACTTGGCGAGTCCTAGAAGGGCTGCATGGAGGCCGGACGCAGGGTGGACTCCATGAGGAGAGCCCATAGCTGAATATCCCACTCCTTTTACATGCAGGGCCGGAAGTTCTTACAAATTTGGCACTTGTATCTAATGCAGGGGTGAGCAAACTACAGCTCGCGGGCTGCATCCAGCCCATCAGACCTTTTAATCCAGCCCTCAAGCTCCCGCAGGGGAGCGGGATGGGGGACTTGCCCCGCTCTGCCTGCCTGGCACTCCCCAGCCCCCCAACTCACAATTCCTTAATGAGCACCATCTTCCTGCATGCAAAACCACACTGCATAGGCACGATTGGCACTGCTTACCTAGACTTCACTGCACTGTTTCTGGGATCAGAACACTGCCCCTACGTGGCAGCACACCCAATCCCCGAAGCGCCAGCCTCCTGGCACCAGCCTCCGCCCAAACTAGCCAATGATCAAGGCCAGCAGTTTCGCAGGGATACCCCCCTAATCGAGTCCAATTAGGAACTGCAAGCTCCTTCATCGACCAATCCCTGAGGCACCGCTCCTCTGAGAGACTCACCTTATTCCTCATCAGCCAGTCACCACAGCCCAGACCCTCCCGGTCTCCTATGGCCCCACCCTCGAGGTTTTATGTTTATTTCCACTAAAATGTATCTTTATTAAATACAGGTTTCAGAGGAACAGCCGTGTTAGTCTGTATTCGCAAAAAGAAAAGGAGTACTTGTGGCACCTTACAGACTAACCAATTTATTTGAGCATGAGCTTTCGTGAGCTACAGCTCACTTCATCAGATCTGATGAAGTGAGCTGTAGCTCACGAAAGCTCATGCTCAAATAAATTGGTTAGTCTCTAAGGTGCCACAAGTACTCCTTTTCTTTATTAAATAGAGTTTATTTGAATACCTCTGAATTGTTAATTTTGTGAACATTCATGGCCCGCCATATAATTTCCATACCCAGATGTGGCCCTCAGGACAAAAAGTTTGCCCATCCTTGCTCTAACATGTGACTCCCCTAAGCACTTGAGGCAGCTGCTATAGGGGTCACTTACAGGCATAGGCCTGTTGCAGTCCATGCAGAGCTTAAACCCCGGGAGACCAGGGCATGCTATCACCTGGCTGGGACCCTAACTGCTAACAATTAACTACACTTAACAACTACTTAACACTAACTACTATAAATAAAACTATTTACAAGGCCGTAAGGCTCAAAGTCAGTAGACAAAAAACCACTAGCCCTTGCAGTGCAAGGGAAGACGCTCCGACTAACCACCACGGGCGGTAAGAAGGAATTGAGAGGGCGTAGGGTTGGTGGCGCCTGATATACTGGCACATTAGGGCGGCGCTCAGGGGGATGCCACTCCCGACGCTACGGATACCGCTAAGGCAAAAATCTCCAACAACCATGCATGTGGGTGCGCACACACCTAGAATGGATTCAACATGAGCAAGCACTCAAAGAAGAATTTGTGTTGCCCAGATGTAATTAAGGCCAGAATATAGTTCACTACTTAGAAAAATTTATGTTTTGTCTTGGATCAGTACTGATTGGAGTACTCTTCCAGGATTGCCAGGTCTCTTTATGAAACCATGTTCAGATATGTGAGAGGAAAACTCAAGTAAGAGAGCTGTAATAGCCAGGAAAAAAGAATTCATACAGAACTAAAGATGATCAGCTTTCCATAAAAGAACAAATGTCCTTGCAAATGTTATATGCACAAAGAACAATCATAGACATGTTTGTCTGTGAGTAATGAATGGCAGCACACAGCAGCTGCACATATAGAAGAGTATCAAGAGCTCATACAATTAACAAAAAATGCTACTACTATATGAGATTAACTCAATTTTGTGGAAAATTTCATAATCTAGTTCAGCAACTGTGAAATTATTGTATGTCACCACTCTGCATATATATATAGATATATGATGACAGAGCAAAAACGACTGGAGTTATCTGTACCATCCTAAATTTTGATTTCTTTAATTAGTTCAATGATTTAGATTAAACAAGCAGAAGGCTTCAGAAAACAAAATCTTTCCAGCCACAAAAAGGAAATAAGCATTAATTAATTTTTCATGGCAGTTGGAAGTACAGCTACTATATAAAGATAAGGAGTACTTGTGGCACCTTAGAGACTAACCAATTTATTTGAGCATGAGCTTTCGTGAGCTACAAATTGAGCTGTAGCTCACGAAAGCTCATGCTCAAATAAATTGGTTAGTCTCTAAGATGCCACAAGTACTCCTTTTCTTTTTGCAAATACAGACTAACACGGCTGTTCCTCTGAAACCTATATAAAGATACAATACAGTCACAATTAGTTTCATTTAGTGAGCTAAGAAGAATTAGCAATTTGTTAGAGAAAAAGGGTTACCATTAATTAAAATTAAGTCTGTTCATGCAAAAATTTTATTTATTAGAAAATACCCTAACTGGGTCATATTTTCAAAGTCTCAGTTTGGCTACTGAAACTGCACATGCATACTTCCATGTTATGCCTAGATTTTTATGCAACCTAAAACTTTAGATTTGTATGTATGTATGTAGTTATATATCTAACTATGCAGTTTGTATGCACTGTTGACTGAGAAATATTGAAGGTGTTAAACTGTGGGCATAATTTTAGAGGATTTAGAATATTTGATCCTTTGGGCCAAATTAATTTCTGGTATAACTTCACTGGCTTCAGTAGATTTATACCAGGGATAAATTTTTCCCATTAGAAAAACCACATTTACCAACTACATTCCTACTTTACTTATATTGTGAGAATGATAATTTAAATGATGGTGGCACTAGTCACACAAATATGATACAGTTTGGTACTTTATGATGCCATCAATGACTACTGGAACCAAAATATGCAATGGTATCAAGAGTTTGATTACAATGGGGTTGATTATAAAAAAGAATCATGGTAAAGTAGTCTTAAGTCTGACTTTTGAAATCAATGGACTTACTCACCAGAGTAAAATAACAGGCTATGGTGTGAAGTATAACAACAGATAGCCTGGTCTAATGTGCACTGAAGTAAATGGAAAGACTCTCATTAACTTCAATGACCTTTGGATCAGGCCAGAGAACCTAAGGAAGAGGAACTATCTCTGGAATAACTGTGAACTCTTTATCTCTTAACAATTTTAGGTGGTTTTCTACTGGCGTTACCACTGATTTTTTACAAGTACTTTACCAATGTCCATATATTTTATATTACATAACGGTGTCCATAACCTATAATTAGTGTGGCATAAGGGAGTTATATATTCCTCAAAGAAAGTGTTAAATAGCTACACTCTAATCACCTATTAACAGCTAGTAGCTAAATTCACTAGTGTTGATTTTAAACCACTAAAAGTGAACAGTGTCACACCTGTCTTACATTTTTCTCACACAAAGCAAGTATTGTTCTTGTTTTATCACCTTTAATTAGTAAAGCAGTCGTCCAGTACCTGATTCTGCATTTTGGGCTTCACACTTCGTTCTGATGGCTGACAGAAGATCTTGTACTTCTGGAAGAAAATTCATTTTCTCCTTTATACATTTCTCATAGTCAATGTCCAGATTATGTTCCTCTTTCACAGAAGCAGTCACTTGTTTCTTCTGCATGAAACTGTCTTCACATGTAAAAGTAGTGATATCATGCTGAACTTTTTTAAACTGTTGCTCTAGCACCAAGAGTTTGTTTTTTTCACATAGACTCTTTAAAGGTTGCTTCACTTCCTGAGACAATTTTGAATAAAGCTGTTGGTACACAATGAATGGGTTGGATATATCTGTGTCCCCTTCAATTAATCTTTGGCCTTCTTTCCTGGTTTTCTGGGACATAGACCCTGTCTCCCAGATTATGGTTTTATCAGTTTCCTTGTTGTTTGTTCCTGTTACTGATGTAATATTTTTTTCCTGAATGCCAAGTTGTCCTTCCTCAGATCTATCTTTTAGCATTTTAAAATTATCTATGTTTAAATTATTTGTAGCTTCTGCCGTCTGAATTGTGTCTTTCTCTTGTTCAGATTCGTTTTCCTTTAACTCAGCCTCTCTCCTTTGCACGTTATTAAATTCTACCTTTATCTGGTTTATCCTAATATCTTCCCTGTTTTCATTTGGGTCTAGGACAGGACTTTTGTGTTCAGAATTTATTCTAAAGTCTCCATTATTATTTTTACTAAACAAACTTCCAAGAAAATGTGAAGTTTTTGTAAAAATACTAGCCACTCCCCCCGCTGTCATGACACCATTTTTATAATTTATATTTTGGGAGTCTGTTTTTTTCTGATCATCAGTATCTTTTTTGCTTTTGTCCTTACTATCTTTTGCTTTTTCAGAAGTAGTTAATTTTTTTATATGATTTATGTTTTCAGTTGGAAGAGCATCTTCCCTGTCAATGTGTCTTTTACCATTCAGATCTCTATGTTTCACAGCATTTAAATGGAGTGTTTCCAAGCCCTGCTCACTTTGCGAAGGTACATGTTCTATGTTGCTGTGTGCTGAATCATGATAATGGGGAATATGTAACAAAGGCTTGTTAGGATTAGAGCCACCATGATTTTTAAGAGGTGCCTGGGTTTGCAATTCAGTAGACTCAAAAGATTCTAAATGTAATGCTAGGGTTTTTTTTTCAGAGTTTTCAACTACACTAGATTGTTCTTGGAATAAATGTTCGTGTTCATTAAGTAGGATATGACTGGATTCTGCAGTTGTTTTTGTTGTAACTAAACTTTCTTCAGACATTTTCTGTGATTCTGCTACATCCTGTAACTTTGGTGTTACATCGTCATTTGAATGAGGATATGATGATATTTTCTGGTATTCAGATTCATTTTCTGTATTTATGCTTTCCATATCTTCATGATGACTTGAACTGCTGGGCTCAGGTACTTCTAAATCTGATGGTATGGAAGATTCTTTTCTTTTATTATGTAGCATCTGAGTTTTATATTTCTTTCCAGGATCTGAATTACTATTATCCCCAGTCCCACATTCTGATATCAGAGGCTCATGTTGGGAAGATGAATCATCCAATTCTATACCTAGTGGCTCTTTCTTATGGTGTGGCATATTCATGGAAATTTGTTGAGATTGAAGCTCCTCTTCAGAAAAAGTATCAGCACTAGCTTCAGGTGCTATAATTTGTTCTTGTAGGACTTGTTCACCAAGAACATTTACTGTTAATGAATCATCACTAATTCTAATATTATCAGAATGCTGTTCAGACGGATTTGAAATATGTTCTCTTTTATTGTATTCGTCATCTATTTGCTCCTGTGTAAATGGCATAGAAGACTGTGGAACTTCATTGCCTTTGTTTTGCAGACCATACATAAAATAATTTAATGTGTGACTGTCTTGCTCAAGAATTATACTCTCACTTTGTATTATTTCCTCAGATGTAGCTACTGAAGATGTTTCTTGGTTAGCCAAAATATTTGCTCTCTTTTCATTTTGGGGTTTATTTGGCTCATAATTTTTTATCATTTGCTCACTGTGTTCTAGGTTATTTTCACCACACTCTGAAACATGTTGTGAAAAATTCTCTGGCTGTTTTATTCTGTCTTGGGAAAAATGACTAATGTCTTTGCTATTCACTACAATTTTGTCTAACACATCATCATCAACATTTGAGCTGGAAAAATGATCTTTTATGGAATCTTGTGAGACATCACGCAAACCTTTGTCTGAAGAATTTTCAGTATATTCCTCATCAGTGAGTTCTCCTTCTTCTTCAGACTCCAAAGTAATATGTTGTGCCTGTACATCATTATTTACATGGTGTTTTGATAGTGATTCATCAAAATCCAGAGAAGATAACTGGTCTGAAACTTGAATTTTCTTTGTGTCAGCAATGCGATCAATGCCAAGTTCATGACCATTATCCTCTGAAAAATTTTCAGCTAAGTAACCCTGCCTTACTCCCTTTTTAATAATATTTTGTTGACTAGAATAAGAATCTTCACAGAAGTATCCATGTTGTTCTGGTAAATCTTTTATATTTATTTTTGTTTCTAAAGATACCTGCTGCTCATCTTCTAAAATAGAAACTTCACTTTTCTCTTTTATATTAGAAAATTCCTCTCTTTCATTTCTTTTAGAATTGGGTTCCTTGCATTTTGGATATGTAAATAAAGGGTCTACTCTGTGTTCTAACTGGGATTCTGTAAATGAAAGATGTGAGCTATCTTTTACTAATTTAGTATCTTTCATTGTGTTTTCACTATCTTGTTCAACATTTTGCACTGTCAACGGAGAAAATAGAACACTTTCTTTGAAAATGTCTACATCACTCTTCTCTAGTACTTGTTCATTAATCTTCTGATTTGTTTGGCCTTTCAGTTCAATTTCTTTGCCATTTGTAGTCTGGCCATTTTCATCACTGAAGCTCAGAGTCTCTTGTAGCCTTTGCAGAGAATGCTCATCTTTGGTTGCAAAACATTGGAAGCTCAGTATGTTTTTATAATGACTAAAAGAAAAGACAGTCTGTGGTTCTTCAAACTGGTTTTGCTTGTCTTTCTCTGAATTATCAGCTGTGTCTAAGTCCTCAGATAAACTGGAAGAAGATAAAAGCTGGGCTACAACTGATTCCCGTGTGTCTTGAGAAACTACAGATTCCTGCTCCTTTTGATCATCTGATATGTCCATATTAAAATCTATGTTGCCAGAGATATTTTCATACCAACCTGCCTGGTCATTTTTGCTCTCTGATTCCTCTGTTATCTCTTTTACTTCAGTGTTTTCTATTACTTGACTTTGTGCTGCTGAATTTTGTTCTGTACTGTAAAGCTCAGTTAGTTTGGTTTTGTCTGATATTCCTTGAGTAAGAGGTGACTCAGCTTCATTTAGGATTTTCTTGAAGTTCAGAAGACTATCTAAATTTGCTGGCAACTCCCCAGAACTTGGTGTGTCAAATTCTACTGATTCTTGTTTATGTGTTTTCAGATTATTTTGTCCTTCATCTTGCATCATTTCAGCTATTTCTCTTTGTGATTTCCTCTCTATGTAAGTTTCAGTTTCCTGTAGGTTTAAAGTATGCATTTCTTCATTCTTATCCGTTCTGTCCTCTTTATGTTCAATTGGTTCCTCTTTTGATAACACACGCTGTTCACTAGAATAAAAATCTTCAGTTATATATTCATGTTGTACTGGTGAATCTATTGTATTTTCTAACTTTAAATCTGAAGATGCATGCTGCTGGTCTTTGGAGATAGGGACATCACTGTTATCTTTTATATTAGAAAATTCCTGTTTTTCACTACCCTCAGAAATGGGTTCCTCAGGGTTTGAATATCTAGATATTTGTGAATGTTGACCTTGGGAGATTTTAGATTCTAATTGGGATTTTACAGATAAAAGGGGTGAAGTATTGTTATATATTACTAATCTGGCATATTGTATCGTTTTTTCACTACTTTGTTCATTACCTTGCACTGCTAATGGAGACAACAGAACACTTTCTTGGGACATTGCCACATCTCCCTTCTCTCGCACAGTCTCACTAACCCTCTGATTTGCTTGTAATTTCACTGCAGTTTCTTTACTTCCTTGTAATATTTCATCATTATTTTCAGATTGGGCGAGTTCTCCACTAAAGTTCAAATCCTCCTGTGCATTTTGCACAGATTCCTTTACTTTGGTTATTAAACTGTGAAAGCTCAGTATGTTTGTAAAATGACTAAATGAGAGGAAAGATTGAGATTCTTCAAACCTGTCATGCTTTTCTTCTTCTGAATTTTTAGCAATAGTGGAGTCTAAGCTTTGAGGTGAGCTAGGAAAAGAGTGAAGCTGAGATGTAACTGATTCCTGTATGCCATGAGCAACCACAGATTCCTGCCCCTGTTCATTATCTGACGTGTCCCTATTAAATGTAATGAAGTTACTATATATTTTTTCATACCAACCTGACTGGCCATTTATGCTTTCTGACTCCTGTGTTATCTCTTTAACTTCAGTGTTTTCCATAACTGGAGTTTCTGATACTGGGTTTTGTTCTGAACTGTGAGGTTCAATTAGTTTGTCTTTGTCAGCAACATCTGTAGTAAAAGATGACTCTTCTGCATTTTTGGTGCTCTTTAAATTGAGAGGATTATCTTCATTTACTGGCAGCTCCTCAGAAGTTGGTGTTTTATTGTCTGAATCTAATATTTCATGTACATTATTCTTCTTGTTATTTTGTTCTTCACTTATCATTACTTTGGCTGTTTCCTTTTTCAGTTCTCTGTCCATCTGAGATTCAGTTTCTTGTGGGGTCGAAGTCTGAATTTCTTCATTCTTATCTGTTGCAACCTTCATTTCTCTGCTTTGCTCCTCTTTTGTTATAGGGTTCTCTTTCTTAGCATGCCCAAATGTTAAAACATCACTTAAACCCAAATTAAACCAGCTTGATTTGGATACCTCATTGTGACTTTTTTGCTTTTCTTCTGTTGATTTTTCTGCAGCTGCATTTCTTTGTTCAAACTCAGAATGCTCAGCATTACTAGAACTATCATGGATTTGTGGATTATTTTCTTTGGACAGCAAACCAAGGACTGAATTCTCTCTACCAAAATTTAGTAAATCTGTCAATCTACTCTGAAACCAGCCAGAAGACTCTGGTTTATCCTCATCAGTTAATTCTTTCATGTCACTTTCATGAGTTATTGCTATTTTTCTGCTTCTGAATGTATTTTCTTCTAGAGATTTGGTCACTGTTTCAAAAGCTTCCTCATCTTGTTTACTTCCTAGGCCAAGCCATCCTACAACACCAGAAACAGTCCATGTAGATTCTAAAGGAGCTGGTTTCAGTGGGTGACTGCTTTCAGCTTCTTGCAGGACAGCATCATCTTTTCCATTCTTGTTCTTTCTGAACAATTTATTGCTCTCAGTCTCCTTTTGAGTGTGAGGGTCTTTGAACTTTCTGTCTAATTCATCACTTTCAGGAACTGACTCAATTCCATGTTCCCGCTGGAAGGAAATAGTTGTCTGTTTTTGGAGCTCACCTTCGGACATCTTTGATTCTGGCTCTTTGTAAGGCAATGGATATTCACGTTCTTCATTATGATTGTGCAATACACTATCTTTATTTTCCAAAAGGTATTCACCTCCATCAAGACAAAGGAAATCAGTTTCCTAAAAGAATAATAGTCACCTTTTTATTATGTGTATGGATGTTTTAAAGTATTCTGTAATAAAATAATACACCCATTTTATCTACTTTTTTGCTTCTGTACAATAGTATGTGTGTATAGCCTTCTATGAGGAAATGTAGGTAATCTCGATATTCCTCATGGCTCTATTTGGCTTACTTGGTATAATGTGTGGATCTAAACTTCTTAACAGAGATCTGTGTCTAAGCAATATACACAGACAAATGGTAGAATAACAAGAAAAACACATACTGAACGACCCCAAAGAAGACTTGCAACGACACCTGAGTTTCTACCCATGTATCAGCTGGAGAACAAAATTTCAGCTGTTCATCAGTATACAGGGAAGACTGGTGATATTAGTTTACCTTAGTTGGCACTTCTACTTCTTGTATAATAAAAACGTCTTCAGTTTGAACTGCATTCTTTGGGAAATATCCAAAATCCTTCCCTTTCTATAAAAATAAAAATGGAAGGAGAATATTTAGCATTTTGTTATATATACAGATGATGTGTGTATCTTTGCATGCTAAGAACTTATGATCAAACAAATACTTAGATTAGAAGAGCCCTCTAAAGTTGATATTCATACCCATTTTGGTCAATGGAACCCTTTCCCCTTCACAAATAAATGTTTTCTCCATCACTTCTTGAAGCATATGACACTATATATCCCATGCTGTGTTTTACAATTTACACAATGCACATTACTATTGTGAACAAATGTTGGTTCAGTATCAAAACAGTAGTTTGGACACAGCTTCAATTCACATGCTATTATATGCACTAATGATTTGATCCCATGCCCACTGATATCAGTGGCAAAGCTCCCAGTGGCTTAAGCCAGACCAAATTCATTCCCTCAGAGCAAATGAGAACCATACTCCTCCATGTATTTTATGTTCACAAATGTAATGTATATATTGGATATCTACAACCAGCTCTAAATTATTTCTCTGTGTAGGATGTGCTAGGGAACTAGATGAGAAATTGTTATGATCCATGTCAACAGGAGGTACAGGGTTATCTAGTAATCTGAGCTACCAACCTCCTAACTGAAGGAAAAGCATTACATTTTTATATTATCAAAGAAAACAGGCAATGATCACCTGTGCTACTTTTGAAATTATTCTGCTCAACTAGGTAAATATATATTTTATGACATGTACAAATTTTCAAAATGCATAAAGTTTCACTTATAGACTGCGTTGGTTAACTTTATTTTTGGTAGAGCTATCAGGCAAACTATGGCCTGGGGACCACATCCGGCCCATCAGACATTTTAATCCAGCCCTCGAGCTCCTGCTGGGGAGCGGGGTCCAGGGCTTGTCCCGCTCCAGCTGCGGGCTTTCCCCGTTCCACACATGCTGTGGCTCCACATGGCTCCCGGAAGTAGTGGCATGTCCCCCCTCTGGCTCCTATGGGTAGGGGCAGCCAGGGGGCTCCGCATGCTGCCCCCACCCCAAGTGCTGCCCCCGCATCTCCCTTTGGCTGGGAACCATGGCCAATGGGAGCTGCAGGGGTGGTGCCTGAGGATGAGGCAGCATGCAGAGCCGCCTGGCTGCATTTCCGCATAGGAGCCGGAGGGGGGATATATCGCTGCTTCCAGGAGCTGCTTGAGGTAAGTGCTGCCTGGAGCCTGTGCCCCTGACACCCTCCCACACCCCAACCCCCTGCCCAGCCATGATCCCTCTCCCGCCCTCCGAAACGCTTGGTCCCAGCCTGGAGCACCCTCCTGCACCCCCAACCCCTCATCCCCTGCGCCACCCCAGAGCCTGTACCCCCAGCTGGAGCCCTCACCCCCGCCCCGCACTCCAACCCCAGCCTGAAGCCCCTCCCACACCCTGAACTCCTTGTTTCTGGCCTCACCCCAGAGCCCAGCTGGAGCCCTCACCCCCTCCCTCACCCCAATCCCAAATTTTGTGAGCATTCATGGCCCGCCATATAATTTCCATACCCAGATGTGGCCCTCGGAACAAAAAGTTTGCCCACCCCGACCTACAAGGTTTGAACCCATGCAAACACATGTCCACTGTATCTTAAGTCCACCACTGTCTTAACCATTTGACCATTCTATTGAAGGTGCTCAAGAAAAATTCCCAATTACTTCTTTGGGAGTTTTGTTTTAACAAAGATTGCAGGATCAGACACCAAAATTGGATTTTTGATTAGATAGTTTTAACAACTCCTTACCTACATTCTAATTAGTCTGTGGATGCTTGACCCAATAAACCTGAACTGTTCTAAGTAAGCCATGTAGTTAAAAGACGGATAATATGGTAATGACTATAGCATAATTACTGTGAGACTGAAGACCAGGATTGCAGTCTCAGCTCTATCACTCCCAATGGGACCTTGGGCAAATCTGGGGTTAACTTTCCCTCTCTGGGGAAAATGGAAATCATAACTACTTACCACACAAAGATGCTATGAGCCTTAATTGGCTAATGTTCATCAAGTGTTGTAAGATCCTTAGATGACAGGTATTATAGATGTGCAAATGTATTATTACAGGGGTGGCCAATTTGTGGCTTGTGAGCCGCTTGTGCCTCTTTCACAGTTAATATGCGGCTCACAAAGTCCCCTATGCCCCCATTTTCTGCCTACCAGACTGGTGGGGGAGAGGGAGTTCAGGGCTTCTGCCCTGCAGTGGGGTGGTGGGGCTAGAGGCTTCTGCCAAAGACAACTGGTGTCTGTTGAGAGTGGGGAGTTCAGTTTAAAGGTTCGGCCCCCCAACAGCTTGAGTCATGCCCCTCCCCCAGGCATGCCCCCTCTCTTACCCTCACTGGCCCCTCCCTGAAGCTCCCACGTGTTAGCTTTGAGTGGGAGAGGCAGCAGCAAAAGCAGCGGCTCTCCCTGCAGCTCCCAGCTGTTTGAGGCTGCCTCTCCCCACAGCTGCAGCTCCCAACTTGCTGGCTTCAGCAGCTGCCATGCAGGGAGGGGGCCCAGTGACACCATGTGACCAAGCAGGGCCAGCAAACCCTGGCAAAAAGCTTTGGGGGGCACATGACACTGTGTGCCCCCCCCATGCGCCGTCTCTGGTTCTGTCCAGCAGGGAGGAGAGTCTCGGAGCTTCAGACTTCCAAGGCATACCTGCCCTGGCGTTGCTATCAAATTTCTGAATATTGTTGTATGTGGCTCGGAGGGTCAGTAAGTTTGACCACCTCTGTATTATTGTTTTATTTAGCTTGCTCATAGTGAAATTATTGCAGACTGAAATACTTACACTTCCTGCCCACAAATCTTCCCTTTTTCTTGAAAGTTTGGAGTATACGATTATCTCTTCCCCCATTTTGAATTTCAGATATCGGCAGTCAGGCCCTACGTAGTCTTTAGTGCCTTGGACTCTGCTCATTGCAGCTGAATATATGTAAAAAGAGAGCAAAAAGCAACTAGAATAACTACTTTTCTTAAATCATTCATCACTCTGAAAAAGTAGATGTGATGTATATAAAGAAACATTAACATTGTTTATATATGAATAAAATATGTTTTATGATAATATCACTGTTTAAATTCTAAAGTAGAAAGCTACTCAAAAACTAGAATATACATTGGAGGCCCTATCATGCTGTCATTAAAGTCAGTGGCAAAAATCCTATTGACATCTGTGAGAACGGAACCCAGTCCTAGATGTTCAGACCATCTTTGAGTATTGGCATGCACAAAACTTCCAGTGCCTTCAATAGGAGTTATACATGTGGAGCAGCTGCAGGGTAAGGTGTTCCACACGTCCATAACAATCTGGAAGATCCAAAGACAACATTTTCCAAGTATTTTGATTGTTTGACTTTTAAATATTGCACATTTTCATTGGCTTATTTTTCAGCTATTTTAGTCATATCTTTTGAACATAATATTAAAGACAAAAAAGCTAAGTTTAAACAATATAAGCATGAAGAAATATACGTGTTGCCAAAAGCAGGAAATTTAAAGTCTAGGTGTCTGGCTTTCATTTCAATTTCCTTTTCAATAACTTTTTAAATACTATACTCAGTTTGAGTCCCAATCCCTCCCATAAGCTGCTCCACAGAAGCAGACACCTGAGCCTGCCTGGAGCAGCCTGAAGTCAATGAGGCTCCACCTGGGTGCAAGGATCCAGCTGCATAGAGCAATTTGCAGGATTGGGAACTCTGTGTGCAAATGTCAGCTTGCAAGGTGGATAGGCTCTCAGTTTTGAAAGTGCAAAAATTTGTAAGTGCAAAACCAAAGGAGGCAGCTGAAAAACTGGCTCCAAGTATATGTGACAAAAACAGGTTTCATAGTGGTAATCAGAGAGGTGGCTTTTCTACAAAGTATCCATTTCGTATCACTGCCATTTCTGATTCTGCTGCAAGCCTGGACAGCTATTTATGCAGATGATTCTCCCAAAAGTATATAGGGCCTTTCTATCATATTCCTTAACTAATTTCTGCCCTTAATTCACACCATAGCAGAAAAAATAAATAAAGGACAAATGAGCAGTATCTTTCACAAGAAGAACTTATAATGGGGGGAAAAAAAGTACATTTTGCTAAACCAGAATATGTGTTTCTGTAAACATTTTTGTATTCATTTTACATTTACAGATATATCAGTTTAGAATTTTTTTTTAAGTATTTCAGTATACGGAGAAGAATAATTAAAAATAAATAAATTAGATGTTTCTTAACATAGACTATTTTCAGGAAACTCATGGAAAACTATAAGATGTTAGCTCCAAGTTTCTAATGTACTGGTAACAAGAAGTATTTCTACTGAACTTTGCCCTTTTGCATATTTCCACAACATAATCCCACAGGAGGGTTTTCCAGGAATATTCTTCCTTTATGGAAAATATATAGGGGTATCCTTCATAAGCCTAATACTTTGACAACAGTACATTAAAGCATTTACACTTCCCAAATTTTCTTTCACATTTTTATTGTGGGCTTCTACATTGTGATTTGAAATGACTACATATGGATTTACCAGACTCATTAAAAATAAAAACCTTTTAACTTACTTTCACATTCCTGATCGCCACACTTTTTCCACTCTGACAGTAGCTTTGTACTCTGCAGACTTGTTAAAAATGAAATTACTATCAGCAAAATTCTGTGATCCAAAAACTTCTCCATACTAGAAAAGCAAAACGTAAATCTAGAATTCGGCAAAACTACGCAAGTAGGATTGGTATTCAGTCAGCAGAAATATCCAATATTATTGTACTTAACCTAACCAAATGTTGAAAATAAGATCCCATTTTCCTTCTGGCTGCAGAATCTGCTTAAACAGAAGAGCATTAGATTTCCACAATTTGCAGAGTCAGTTATCCTGATTAAACACATAGGCTTAATAATTAACTAAGTTTTGATAGCTGGACTAGTTTTTTGAATACCAAGCAATGAACTCTATTCAGACTGAAGATTTTAGACCTCCTGGAAGCTAATAAGCAAGTGGGTTATACTGTACTATATGTGGCTTATGGGAAATTGTGGGGCAAAAATTCAACATTTGTTGAAAGTTTTAGTGAAATTATGTTTTATTTTCCTGATTGTTGAAGGAATATTTTTAAAATACACCTCGTCAACACATTGTGCGCTCAGTCTCTCATGTATTGGCTCAATTTCCTGTGTAAACTGATTGCACAATTGCCTTTATACCTGCCAATAATTTTTTTTTTTTCAGAAAAAATTCCTCAAATAAACCATAGGATGAGAGTTTTTTTGTCCCCAGCCACCAGAATGTTCTGTGTGTTCTGGTAATTTAGGTTATTTTTACATTAATATATTGATTATCAGGGCCTCAAAGCTAATGCATTTTTTTCAGTGCTTTTGCAATGCTTTTCTCAAGTGCCTGGTCCTGCGAGGTGCTGAGTGCCTCCTAAGAGAGGCTAGGCCTCTCAACTCCCATTGACTTTAATGGGAGTCGAGGTACTCAACACCTCACAGGATCAAGCCCTTGAGGATATATTTACATTGCTGTCACGGATCCACAGGATCAGTGCTATGCCTCCAGCTTTGGAAAAGTCTCTAGGAGGAACCCTTTCAGAGAGCCTGACCCCCTAGGGATCTGACTCTGCCTCCAGGGCAAGCCATGTGGCTTCACCGCCTCCTTAGACCGGATCTCTGGGCCTTTAGCACTCTTCCTTCACATCTCAGCTGAGTCCAACTGAGATAAGCTTTTGGTAGAGACCTGTACACTCTTCAGGGATTAATGCACCTCAGCAAGCATTTGCAGTGACACTCAAACTGCATTGTCAAAACAGCAGGGTTTATTAGTCAACTGGAACACAATTTAGGAAGTCCTTAGGGTAGCAGAGAAAACTGAAGGTTAAAGCATAGACCATTCTGATAAGCCCAGAGCCCAGACAAGCTATAGTGAACCCCATTGTTCAAGCTCTGTCTCTCAGTCTGACCTCCAGTCCTTGGTCAGACTCCAGGTGAAAGCCTGGACTCCTTTCCCCAACCAACTCTTCTCCCACACCTCACACCACTCCAGTTCTTTGTTATCAGGCTGGGGATTGTTGCTCCGCTTCCCGGGACCTTGAGGCGAAGCAGGGAAATCCATATCCTTCTGGGTCGTTGGTTGCCAGGTGTCAATGTCTTGGTGATTGTATTTGCCATTATCTTCTCAGCTACTCCATTGATATGTGAAACTAAGGCTGATGTCTACACTATGAAATTAGGTCGAATTTATAGGTCAGTTTTTTATAAATTGTTTTTATATAGTTGATTGTGTGTGTCCCCACACAAAATGCTCTAAGTGCATTAACTCAGCAGAGTGCTTCCACAGTACCGAGGCGAGCATCGACGCCTAGTGTAGACCAGGGCTGAGACAGCTAGGTGACATCCACACCTACTCTGAGAGCAGACTGTCCTTTTCCCCCACTAGGTAACAATGCAGCATGTAGGGGAAACTGAGGCACACATAGACTTCATACAAATATTACAGAAAATTCCCACATTGTCACAAATGCACACTAAGCCAAGGCTCTGACTCAGTTCTGAGCCCAAGCCTGCCCTCCATCTACACACAAATCAGTCTGACTCAGGTCAGCAAGCACTCAGGACCCAGGTCCTAACCTGAGTCCCACTGAGACTCAGGTCCAAGCCCTGTCATTTTGCAATGTGGCTGCAGCTCAAGACACAGACCCGAGGCAGAAGATCTGCGTTGTGCAGTGTAGAAGTTTAGCATGGCTGCAAGACCCAGGTCCAGTGCTTGTAAGCCCAGGTTTACAATGCAATTTGGATGTTCAAATGCAGTCTTAGAAACACTAATTCCAAATGTCTAAGTCCCACAGAGCTGGGTTTACAATATAGTGTCGACGTATCCTGAGAGGGTAAAATATAAACCCGGAAGACTAAAAACCTACATTCTCTGGCTCACATGTTACATACTGATATATAGTATATAAAGTGACCTCCTGTCCTGTGTTTTAAGGGAGATCCCTTGTATGGTGCCTAACAACCCAAATCCAGCAAGCCAGAGGCTGCTTTCAAGCAATAATCATACAAAGGCTCACACCCTGTGTTACAAATGTATGATTTTGTACCATCAATACCTCATGAGTACCTTCCCCATAGTGGTTCCCATGAAAAATAAACTGTCTCGCATTTTTATATAGCTCTCCTGTATTTCCTTAGCCATTAGTGCATATTCCATCACAATGACACCACATGGCAAGAGTATCTAACAGTTTGCAAACCACAATCATCAACACTGGAAAAACACACATAAAAACAGTGACAGGAAAACTCCAAGGATTCAGGATTTAGGACTAGTTCTGACAAGCCTTCTATGGATGTCATTCAGCAACTATTGAGGCCCCCAACAGGCTTCAGACCCTCCCTCATGCCTCCCCTAAACAAATCCTATTTCCCCACAACCTGTTTGTTATCTTCTTAGGATGCTGCTATCCCAGTGTGTTGTGTCTGGGAGCCAGGGCAGTTAGCAGGTGTGCTTCCCCTCTACTGTGTCCTGGAGCATCTTTGTAAGGCCTCTCTTCTACCATTTTTCAACCTCACTGCTGTCAAGGTCTGCCCCAGTCTCCCTTCTGTGGTGTCACCCGTCCTTTCCACCTGCACCTTGTTTGGTAACCCCAGTCTCTCTCCCCTCTCCATACTGTCCCCAGCCCATAGTGTTCCTCCCTAGCCTGACAGTGTCCACATCCATTTCCCTCCCTAGTGCCCCTACCTTCCTCTCAACAGTCCCCCAAGGTGTGCCCCCCTCTTTGCTCTCCACCACAAGGTATGCATACTACTTTCCCCTTGCCTTGCTATCTCTTATCTCTCACCAGTACCTGCCACTGTTTTGAGGGTGACAGAGTTAAGGTGAGCGACACAGACAATGCTAATGGCTGCTGCCTTCTGCCCTCCCTAGCTTCCCCAGTTTTGTTGCAGGCAGAAGCACAGAGCAGTGAATGGGGGGGCATCTGGCAGTCAGAGCAGTGAGACTAGATCTAGAACAGACAGATGCAGACTCTAGTGACAGGAGGAGAAAACTGCAGCCAGTTTTTGTTTTCACTCCCCACTGGCAACGCAACAGGTCAAAGGAAGAGACCTTAGAACATATCTGTTTACAACAGGAAACTCAAAATCTCTCAGCTGATCCCCCCTCCTTCACTAAATTCTCTCCCCTCCCTAGTGCAACAGTTTCTCTCTGCCATTTAGGAAATGGGGAATGGCATATAAAGCATTTCAATTTAAAAAAATCAGGAAGATAATATTCCTGACTTTAATTATTATTATTTGTATTGTGGATCAAAATGCCTAGGCCCACATGCAAAAGAAGACAGAATATCTGTCCCAAAGAGATTTAAATCTGGATAACAGTGGGACTCTTGAACTGTCCACTTTCCAGCTTCTCTTTTCCTCTATTCTGTGGTATGCCTAAGTCCTAACATGGAACAGAGGGTAGAAACTAATTACTGGCCTGGGAAAATTGGAGTTTTATTCCCAAGTACAGCATGCAATTGCTATGCTTAAAAATGGTAAATCCAAGCACCTTAGCCTCAAATTAGCTCAACTGTGTAGTTGTATGAAGAAGCCAAATAATGAAATCCAAGCTTAGATCTCTAGCCCATGTTACTTTAAAAATTTGTTAAACTTTATCTGAAAATGGTTGATTTATGTTTCATACCAATAGGAAGCTGTTGAGTCCAAAGCATGTCTAAACCAGTTCCAGAGTCAGTGTGTGACTCTTCTAATGGATGTGTTAAAAGGGTTTAACTAAACATGGCTATTCAAATTATGCTATCTGCAGTTTTCCAAAGTTTTCTGTTTGGCGTTTACTGTGGACTTTGATAGACTGCAAAAATATCTAGTGAGTCTCCACAGGTAAAACATGGGCTTTCTTTTGTGACTCTAGGTGATATATATGGGATTTTACAGTAGCTATTGTTTAAAAAAAAGACCAGGTGCATAATTTTCAAGCCTTCTGGGTGGAACAAGAATGTCGCGACCACAGACATACATGACAAGAGTTTATGATCCTATTATCCACTTTTTAGATTTGAAGCTGTTAAAGGCTGTTTGGAAGCACCCTGATCCCCCTTCTGTATGGATTATTTTTTGTTGTGTGATTTCAATAATGAACCAAATTTAGATTAATTATTCTCTTTTCCTGTTTATAATTTTAAGTCCCAGACCCGTAGTCTTTATGAAGACATAATTCTCAGTTATCTTTGAATTAAGCTCAAAGGTAATAGTTAATGGAGTTTATCATAACAGGCTTCCAAAGGACAAAGTTGAAAACTTTTAGCAGATATAAAATGTGCTGTATATTTTACTTCCACTTTGCAAGTTAAAGACCAGACACATTCTTGCAGTAATTAAGCATGGACTGTGTTAGTGTACATGCAAAGATATAGGAATATTAATGAAAACATAGGAAATGTAGATTGACCAACCTATTTATAGAAATGTTCAATATGCAAACCTGAGAAGCATGCTCACAAATCTCAAAACTTTATAAGATTTGTGCATCTTTCTGCCATGTGACATACAGAAATATATATACTTATGGCTTAATTTTAACAAGACGTTAAACAATAAAGATTTCTTGTACATAGGTTGACATTTTGAGTGCTATTAGCTGCACATATTAAATACATTATATAGAAAACAAAAAAGTTACTGAATTTTGTTATTTTTCATAGTTGCCCATTACGTGGTGGACAATGTTGTTGTATCTGTGTCTGTCCCAGGATATTATCGAGACAAGGTGGATGAGGTAATATCTCTTATTGGAACAACTTCTGTTGGTGATACAGACAAGCTATCAA